TGCTAACCGAGATACAGCCCGATCAATGGGGATGGTCCCCGAGGATCGCTACGTGTCGGGTCACTTTAACCCGAACCCACTTACGGCTGTCAGAGGGACTTTCTCGTTAGCCGTTCTAGAGTGCGGAAGTTCTACCCGAAGTAGCAACGATTGTATCGGTTACTTAGAGTTATAGTTCAACGTCTATGCAGTCTGGCCTACCGGCCGATAAATTAATTTTAAAAAATCAATTAGGTTTTCTATTCCTAAAATATACATAGACGAAGTTGATATGACACGAGCGTCCTGAAACTGAGTCACTCAAATTGCAACTGATGTAATTAGATTGAAATTCATAGTAGTCTCTTTCCATATCATATGTTCAATATCTGTTTCTTCCCCATAGATCTGTCATATAATGTAAAGCGGAACAGTTTTTAAACGCTACGAAGAAGAAGTCCGGGTAAGTACCTTGAACTCACAGAAGACAGGCGTAAGTAGAAGTGTTACAATTCTGCGTTTCGTCTGGCGAGTGAGGTAGCCGGGGCCCGCTTTATTTAAAGGTGGCAACGCATTTGCAACCCTAAGGGCGTTGCAAATATCCATGGCGGCGGTTATCACTTAACATCAGGTGAGTCGCTAGCTCATCTACTACTTTCTCGCATAAAAAAAGACTTTTTTTTGTATGGGTAATAACGATTAATACCAGAGTTCCCGAATTTATATGTTACTGAATTCGACTGTATATGTTTAAATATTAGTTGGTTTTATTTTAAAATTTCAATTCAATAGTTGTAGGTCAAGTCGGAAGGAAGGAGGGAAATTGGCAGCTGCCACAAACCGTCGAATATGTCAGCATGTCGGCAGTCATGTCTGAAATAGGGCAGTGGCAGACACGCGTCATTTATTTATTATACGTGTTTACATTCGGCGTATTCAATTTCGGAAATCACTATGAGATTGATATAATGTTGGCGTTTAATATTGAAGACCCGAATGGCGTGGGGAGTAGTGACCCTGCCTCCTGCGCCAGAGGGTGTGGGTTCGATCCCCACTACTGGAAAAACATTGTGTGATGAACGTAGTGTTTTTCTGGTGCCTAGGTATTTATATGTATAATATGTATTTATTTACAAAAGAAAAGGGTGTTTAAGTATGTCTATCAGTTTTCTAGTACCCATAGTACAAGCGTTGCTTAGTTTGGGACTAGATAATGTTGTGTAAAAAATGTGTCCGAAATATTTATATTAAAAAAAATACTTATATTTAAAAAAATATGATAAAATATGATACAACGATGTTTAATAATGTAGATGACGCATGTCCATACTGCGCGACGTTTAAAAATTGTTCCGCTTTACATTATATGACATACGTATAAGTGAATGTGACAGATTATATAGAACGTGTGATACGGAAAGAGACTATACAATTGCAATTTAATCACACCAATTGGTGTAATGTGAGTGCCTCAGTTTCAATGCTCTTCGTATTTCTGTAGAATATCATTGGGCCAGTATGGATAAGGAATAAAGAACTGTAAAGATAAATGCGGCTGTACTAAAGACTACGATGATGTGTAGATAAGGTGCAATGAGACGTGTAGAGCTATCACTGCTTGAAACAAACTGTTACTGGTGGACACAGAATGCGCGTCGATAAACAATAACAGTTCCGATTAAGTCGCGAGTGAAAGGAATACTGCTGCATTTGATTTTCTAAGATGTAGAAGTGGTAAAGATAATTCTACATATAAATATGGACAGCAGAGCGTGTAGTCGATTTGTTATAAATATGTTTCCAACCAATGCTTTGGACTTTTATATTAGCTTGCACCAGGCATATATTGACGACGTGGTTGGCGCAGTGAATAGTATTAGAGACATGCTATAAATAGCTTTTACAGATTTATACAACTATGACTCAACGATGACCCAATGATTGGATAGCAATAGTACTTAGCTTTTCCGACAGAGCAACAGCCTTAAAACTACCAATAACGAAAAACTAACCCGCGTACGTTGTGAGAGTCGAATTTATACACCTCAAAAACAAATACCAACCACCCCCCCCCCCCCCCACTCTAGGGTGTAGGAAATATCATGATAAGTCACAACAAACTGTACTAATAAATTATTTATAAATTATTAATTACATTAAATACGTGCCATAATTATAACAATAGTGAACTTAACTTGCCCTTGCACTAGAAGCTGTGTTTTCGATACTCTCTACTCGAAAGTTCTAGTATCTGAATATATGTATAAAATAAAAATATTTATAAGATAAATATTAACACCAATAACTACGCAGCAGTCTTCGCTGTTGCACGAATGGAAAGGTCCGTCCGGGGAAGTACCCGCACTCACAGAAGAGAATATGCTATCAGTAATATTATTCTGTTTGTTACAATTTTCTTTAATTATGATTTTTAAATTTTTAATTGCACCCTTATAAAAACTTCATTGCTGCTTCCGTATACGTTTTGTATACCTAAACGGTATTGCAATTATTTATACACTTTACATGATAGTTATAGATAACAAATAAACTTATGGAACTTGTAAAATACTCGATTGTTTATTTACCGAAGTACACAACGTGTCGCTACCACCGCGACAATAAATGAACACTCGTCTAACGCTACTTGCCAATAATCATAAAAAAATATAATCGGTAAAACAATCCATAATTTATAAAAAATATTTCTCTAACATACTAATTAATAAAAAATTTGTAATATCCTATACAACTACAACTGACTGATTCATACATTCAGAGACTTTTTCATTCATTATCACAGCGTCGCATTACAAGCCTCTCCTTCTAACAGTATGTTTTTTCTCTTTTAAATTAATTCAACCCATGCTTTGTGACCTTTACAAATGAACTTTACTTTACAGTTTTATACGTAAGGCTGTTCTTAAATTGTTTATTTTGGAAAATTTAATAAATCTGTAAATATTGGTGTTTAAAGAATGTAAATGTTTAATACAATTTTTAAAAGTTATCCTCTATATGTGTGTTCATTTATTGTCGCAGTGGTAACGACACGATGTATAACCAAAAAAAAAATACAATAATAAAGACTTGAATTTTTGGCATTACGTATGTACAAAATCATTATACATACTGCGCCGAACATTAAAATATTTTAATAAGGAGGAGGCACCTCTCGATAGATTTATTAGTAGCGGTGGTTGAGTGAACAATAGTACAAGGATTTACCGCCCTATGTAATGAGGGAGGTATTGAAAGCGCTAGGCGACGATTCTGCAGATTTAGTGCTACGAAGGGCGAGGTGCTACGAAGGGCGAGGTGCTACGCGATCCCAATGTTCGGAATCCGACCCCAACTGTAATTGAAACGGTGTAAGGACAAATTAAAGCGAGTAGATAAAAGAAGACACATGTGTTTGTATGTATACCCACGGCTGTTACGCAGAAAGTTAGGTAGAGTGGTTAGGGAGTACGATTTATACGAGTTACTCACGTCTTACGGACGTGGGAGTGGAAAACTAGATGTGTATTATAAGCGTAAGTGACTAGCGGTTTTGGGTATTACGAAAGGCTTCAATAAATCGCCGTTTTACTGGTGATTTTAATTTACCACCCGAATTTGGTCGCGAACTTTTTTACCGTTTGTACGACGTTTCTTGGTTAACGTTTTCGCTCAGATTATTAAACAATTATTAGAATATTATATAGGATGTTTATTTTTTTATGTGAGAGTGTGGCAAACGAGCTTGCGGTTCACCTGATGTTAAGTGGACATTTGCAAAACCCGTTGGGTTGCAGATGCGTCACCTTTTAATAAATGCAGAAATATAATACTTCTACTTCACGCCGGTCGCCTGTGAAATCCTGGTACTTAACACTGGACCTGCCTTATTATGCAACAACCGAAGCCATTGCGCAGCCCTACCACACTAAAATGTAAAAAAATTGTGACGAGGTTCGTTGGTTAACGCTTTCGCTCAGATTATTATAATACATAATTTTATTATACACGATTGCTCACAGTAAATTGAGGAAATTATTTCAATCTCCGATAATCGTTTTCGAGGGTTATATCGATTTTACAGAAGTATCCTGAATCGGTGCGTTGTCACAGATATATCAGGATACGTCAAACATTTTATATTGTCACTATTATTGCCAAATCACCCGATAACCTAGCTCAATATAAAACTCTTCGGGATAAAAATCATATAAAGTTAACTCTAGCAAGCATCTAAAACGTCGGATTAACTACACGTGAATTCTATTAATGAAATGTGGCAGGTACTAACAAGAAGCTCAACCATGGTAGAGTTAATTAAGCCCCGTCTTCACGCCAAAAATAGCATCCATTATTCCCTAATTAAATTTTTTCGTCGTCTCGACGTCCCGGTGAGGTAAACTCTATTAATAGCGTCGCTCAAGTTCATAGTGTAAATTGCCTCGCTCTATGGTACTGTGAGTTTATTGGAAAACGAAGCGACGATAAATAATTGGGCACAGTAGTTAATATAGCCTTAAGTGTAGGTGTTGTACTTTCAGACGAGAAGACTACCCGGGGCGGACTCTTTAAAGGTAATGCATTTGCAACCCTTGAAGTGTTTTAGAAGTTCATCATTATTATCATTTCAGCCTGTTTGAGTCGGTTGATGAACACAGGCCTCCCACTGCTACGAAGCATGATCCTGAGACTGCATCCATCGACTTTCCGCACAGTTACACAGGTCTTTACTGTATGTAGTGGGGGGTCGGTCTACATTGCGATAGCCAGTACGAGGCTGCCACTCGAGAACCTTTCTTCCCCAACGGTTATCGTGAGAAGTCCATGGGCGGCGGTAATCACTTAACATCAGGTAAATCACCTGCACGCTTGCCAACTTCATAGTTTAAGAGAAATCGTAATTATAATTTAATTTAATCCCTTCCCAAACTCTCAAATATAATAGTTTCCTTAATTTTAATGATAGACTTCGCGAGTTTTATCACTTCTTTATTTCTGCATTTCTATCGCACTTTAACCAAATGGATTTAGCAGTTCTCTTCAGGCATGGGGTAAACTATATGCAAAAGCGTGAGCGCTCAGTTTGTAAAGTTGCAAAACTATAGACTCTGTCATCGAGTTCCACGAACAGACTCAATTCTCATCCATGACAGGTATTAGAATGACTAATAACGTTCTCAGTCTAGTTTTGTTTTCCAGATTTATTTTGAACTAAATTTGAGTTAACTGATTTATGTTGTATTCTTTAAACTCTTCTGGAATTTGGATAATGTCATATTATGGTAGAAAGGGATGATATTGCTGTGCTATTACCGAAAATAAAACCGGGTGAAACATGTTTTCTGCATGTATTCATTCCCTTTATTTTACATAACTCATACACATTCTAATCGCATAGTTCAAATCAAAGGCACTGCCCACATCGGGATCGTACAAGCGACCCCTCGCACCTCTGCCAAGTGTGCCAACCTTTAATTGCTAATTAATTTCATCGCCCGAAGGTGGGCCGGGCGTTCCCGGGCCGCCGAATCCCGGCCGGGATTTATGCGGCCCATCCATCATGCCCGCACAATGGATGCAGTGTGCGGCACTCGCATAGAGCCCGCCCGCCCAAGTTTTACGACTCCGGGAAACAATTGTCCGCTAAATGGTCGCGCGGCTTTGTTCCCCGGTATGCGTGGTGCGTGGTTGTGTCGTGATTAATGTCTCTGTCTGTTGCTCTGCGTTCGGGGCGCTCCCGGATAGTGCCAATGGTGGAGTCTGTTTCTTGCTCTACGTTCGTAGCACTAAGCTGAATAAAATTGGTAGAGTCGGTCTCTTGCTTTGCGTCCGTAGCGCCGAGCTGAATAAAGCCAGTGATCGAATCGATCTCTTACTCTACATTCGTAGCACTAAGCTGAATAAAGCCAGTGATAAAGTCGGTCCATTGCTCTACATTCGTAGCACCACCCCGGATGGAGCCAGTGCATTGGTAGAGTCGATGAAAAGTCTCGCGTTCGACTCATCTCTTATCAGTGATTTTAAATTGTTTTGATTGCTTTTTTTTTTTCTTTTTTCAATTTAGAGCATTTTTACAGTTGTCCTCATTACTCGATGGTTGATAAAGTTGATCTAATGGTATAGTGATTCTCAGAACTTGAGTTATAGTATCATTCTGATATGCTTGTGAGTTTGTTCTGTTTTCGACAATTGGAGCTTCTTAACGGAGCTTAATACCTCTACTATTTAATACGTTCGGTAGAGTTGCCCTGCCATTGGTAGATTTGATTGTGTGGCAAATTAAATTCCTATATATATTATAAAATTAATATTGCCTACTCTATATTTCTTACTCTAAATTTGATTAAGTTTATCAACAATTTTTTTTCCTAGTGGGTTATATAAGTATATATTTTGAGAAAAAGTGTTTGTTTCACCTATTAAGTTTGATGAAATAGTGCTTTTACGATTTTTAACGCATTGTGTTTAACCATGAAAATATAAAGGTACGCCACAGCATTGAAGTCAAAAACTAAACAAAATATTAATAAAATGGATAAAATAGTTTAATTGCTTTCTTTGATCATGTATAATACATACTCCCGCAAATGGTCGCGCGGCTAACGGTGGTAGGGCCACGCAGCAGTCTCGGCTGTTCCACGAATGGGCAGGCTCGTCCGATAAGCACCACGACCTCACAGAAGACCGCCGTCAAGTGGAAGTATAATACTTTCGCGTTTCGTCTGGTGAGTGAGGTAGCCGGAGCCCAATTTTAAAAAAGGTTGTCAACGCATCTGCAAACCCTCGGGTGTAGCAGATTTCCATGGGCGGCGGTATTCACTTAACATCAGGTGAACCGTCTGCTCGTTTGGCAACTTTTCACAATAAAATAGAAGTTTATAGCATTGTTCATATGGAATAAGATTGGCAGTTTATTGAACACGATCCCTCTTAATTAAGCTTATTCAATTAGCAAAGTTTTGACTGCTTTCCAGAACACTTAGCCTAGCCAAGTAATATGTTTGGCGTTGCGAAGTCTTAGCTATTCCTTAATTAAATAGCTCCTTTCGCTTTAGGAGGTTCTAAAACCTAAAGCTAAAGCCTTAAAAAGTTCCTAGATACATAATATTTCTACAATGCAGCACCTCTTGCCAGCAGGGTGGTAATAGATACAGATTTTTAATTTAATCGACTGCATGGCAATTCAATTGCTATAGCTAAATTTGCATGCTGTCAAACAGCTAAACAGGTTAAAGCGACAGACATGTAATTAAACATCTTTGTAACCCTATTTATGGCAAATAAATATTTGAATTTGAAAAAAAATTTGACAGTTTGCAATACAAGCCCCACTACTGAAAAAATATCGTGTAAGTTTTTTTCTCTCTTCTTTTTTCTTGTTATATATATGTATTTATTTGCAAAAGAAAAGTATGTTTATCAGTTATCAAGTGCCCGTAGTACAAGCGTTGCTTAGTTTATGACTAGAGAACGTTGTGTAAAAATGTTTCCTAAGATATTTATTTATTTATTATTTATTATTTTTGTTAATGAAAAACAAAACCGACTACAAACATCTCGCTCTGCATTAATTTTACAATTGATTTCCACGAGTTCCCTGAGTATCTCCCGAGCCCAAGATCCAATAGCAATGCAATTAATATGGGACCACGTGGGAAGGACCAGCTTTCGAATAAAAAAAAATCATCAAAATCGGTTCACTCGGTTGAAAGTTCTGACAAACATAAAAAAATACAGTCGAATGAGGACCTCCTTTTTTGGAGTCGGTTGAAAACAATTTTTTTTTTTTTTAATCAAAAAACAATGTGAAAACGCAAGAAACCACTATACAAGCTATCGTACGCTAGAAATTGAAGCAACGTCCATTGTTCCCGGCTCCGAACCCGGGACTGTGTATTCATGTTCGATCGTTGTTAAAACGCCCAACAATAGACTCCGTGCAGTTGTAGAACAGACGGTTAGTCTCACTGCACTCACGCGCGGTCAAAATGGCTGACCGCTCTATGGGCCTTGGGCGTTTCAATAATACATATGTTCGCGTGAATTAGTCCAGTTCTTGTTGTTGTTAGTAATTAATGAAATTGCAATCTTCTAGTATAAAAACGTATAATAATCAAATATATTAGTTTTCATTATATTGGGTATTGCGTAGCATTTTAAATTGTTCTACTGATAATTTTTCTCATGTTCCTTTTGTAAAAGTTGACAGGAATGACAGCCACAAGGTCGACGACGATATTCATTCTTATAGAAGTCTAAATAGGTTTCTTTACTTTTCTCTTCATTAATTATAGTTAGACTGGTAAGTCAAATAACATATACTGCAGAAATATCGGCAGAGATTGAATGCATTGCGTTCTCAGAGGGTGTGTCGCGTTCAGACAAGTGGTCATAATGCTCGATGGTTTTACAGCAACAGTTTTCTTACACTCTAGAGACATTATTAACTAATTAATTTAATGACTGATCTCGTCGAATCGGTGTGAGTATAGACTAGTTGGGGATCGTCGAAAGTTTTTTTTTTTTTATGTGAGAAAGTAGCAAACGAGCACCTGATGTTAAGTGATAACAACAGCAGTGCAACACTACTACTTTACGCCGGTTTTCTGAAGTGGTGGTACTTACCCGGACGGACCTGCCCATTCGTGCAACAGCGAAGACTGTTACGTGGCCTTATCACTGTAAACAGGTACATCATTCATTTATTTACTTATTTGTTTTGAATTACCCAACAAAATTATATATACATATGTGAAGTATAAAACATATATGAAGTCTGCCAAAGTCGTTAAAAGTGAAGCCCGCCAAATAATTTTTTTCGTTATTATTTCGCAAATATGCCGATCTCCTCACGATGGTTTCCTTAACCGGTGAGCACATGGTAAGTGTGTGTAAGTCTTCAAATCAACAATTTCATTGGTGCCGGCACCGGGGATCGAACTCAGGTTGCTCGAGTATATTGAATTAGAAGCGACCGCCCGGACACTGAGCTATCACAGCTCATTTAGTAATGTAAACGCCGGGAATTAAAACCAAAGTGGAACCAGAAGAGATCCAAAAATTACATTTATTTAGCAATAATATTTACTTCATAGATTGATAGGAGGAAATTTTAAAGTTAAAATGCAAATTATTACACTTTATATTGCACGAGTTTCACGGGTAGGTTTTCGCGTAAATAAATGTTATTTTCAGTACCGCAGACGGAAATTATTTTCTACCATTCATGTTCCTCAAACTTCAAGATACGAGTACGAAATAAACCAAATACTTTTAAAATCAATTGCATACACCGTCTAAGACTATAAGTAATAAAGTCATATGCAGTAATTACTTTGGTGCGCGCGGCGCTCGTAAACTTGGCGTATCAGGTGGCAGGGCACTGGCAGGACACTGGCAGGGTGCCAGGCAACTTAGCGCCACCCGGAAGGCCCGTTTAACATCGAACGGGAATTTCCGTTAATTTCGGAGGAGCAAGCTAGTTATTAATTGTTGGGTGGACAGCCGCCTATTAGAAAATTCTCTTTTATTTGTCCCGCTTCGGAAATAGGACGCCTGAATCGTTCCGTGCTATAGACGGACGTCACGTTCTCAAATCCCTTTCACAACCGAATTAAAAAAACGGCAAAAATATAAAACGGCTTAAATATTTTTTATTATCATATATTCAGCGGAGTCTTAGTAATAGGGTCCCGTTTTACCCTTTGGGTACAATATATATATTATATATATATTATAGTACGCTTGTTTGTAAAAATGTACTTATATTATATATATAGTCCTTTTCCATAACTTGTTTGATCCAGCAAAATTAAAAGAGTACTTTGTTGATCCACCTTTCTGTCCAAATTTACTTGCCCTTAACCTTTATTTTAAAGGCTGGAAAGCATATATTTGAACAGCGTATTGTGTCGCTTAGACATATTTCAAAATTAAGCAATATACTCTAACCGTTGTTTTATACTTTTCCAAAGTATTTGTGGCTCCGCGTAACGGTTTTTTCTCAGGCACTTTTTAAACATTTCTTGATCCCTGTGAGCGCGCATACGCAGCTCGACGTCAGTGTTCGTAAAATTAATTCCACAGTGTTTGTAATAAGAACTGAATTTCTATGTACATTTTCTATTGAGTAAACTGTTACTATATGTCGAATATAATAACGTAGATAAATATAATTGACAAAGTGATGGTTATACCCTATTTCTTATTAATTAGTTTACCATAGGATGCTAGTGAATAAATAATTTAATATTGTAGATATTATCGCTTGATATTAATGAATCCTTGGGACATTATCAAAATACCTACTTACTATAAAGTGTATAGCTTTCTTGTTATGCTTGTTAGCACATGCAGCCTGTATTAATTCGATTGAGGTGAAGCCCAAAATGCTGTACTCCTAAGTAGGCATCCAAATATTATCCCGAGTTGATTTAAGCAACTGGAGCAGCGGCGAACTATGAGCTCAAAGAATATCATACATTTAATACAAATTTAACTGATTGTTGTTTGTACATAGAAGATATTTGAGAAAAAACCATTATTAGGGGCCTTTATCAACGCAGTAGAACCCAAAACAATCATAGTTAAAATTATTGTCTGTTTATTTGTTTGTCTGTGTGCGCTAACTTGGCTAATACGGCCTTTCCGATTTCAGTAGTAGTAAGCTTCTCTTAACATTTATTGATAGTTTTAT